CCCGCCAATCGTGCGCTGTCTTTCTCTCTTTTCTATTCGTGTAACCAGCCCATGTTTGTTCTGTCCCTTTTATCGATGGGAATGTAACTTTCGCTCGAAGTGCACGAGCAAATGATTTTTTTTCCCGTTGGTATTTTGACCCTCAAACGGTTTCATCCTGTGTTCTTTATTTACTCGAATCCTATATTTATTCGCGAGCAATCGCAGATCGCTGGATCGCACGATCGGATGCGTTTCGAATATCTAACGCGTCGATATACAGGATGAAAATAAATCTAACGGTGTTATGAATAAATTTACTAACAAAATACTTACTGTATAAAAAAATGTTTCAAGCGAAAGTTGCTTGATATCGGGCGGGTCATACAATGTGATAATTATTTTTTTTAATATTCCCCTTTTTTATCGATATATGAAGGTGACCTTGAGTTTTTCTATGATAATCTGAAACATTTGACTCTACTATCCGAAGGAACATCGAATACTGAGTAAAAAACCTTAAGGTACATGCTGTCAAAAATGAATAATTACCGAGATATTCTTCAGTGAAGAATGATGGAACTTCTGTGCATGAGAAACACTTGTCTGCTTGATATAGGAATTCAAATTTTTACTAGCTAATCTTTACGGTCCAATAATTCGATGTTGTTACTGCGTACATTACTTCTATAGCAGTATGTACTGCTAAAAAATAATAATAAGTAAACTCATAGATAAATTTTGTTTCTTTTTTCACCTTCTTTTTTTTTTTTTAATAACTTACATGTTTGACGCACCAGACCTACGTGAAATATTTACGTCGAGCATGTCGGGAGACAGGACGGGGGGCGGAGTTCGCGCTTAACACCGACGACGACGAGTAATTGCTTAACGACAACGGTGTCGAGAGAGTCGGTCTTGATTATCTTCCGGGAACTAATCTCGTGGAGGCATCGAACAATGACGAATCTGTAATGAATATTCAACGTATCCGTGGATTCGTTCGTACGTGCCCGTATATCCATTATGGATATCCGCCGGTTGATTCCAGGTACACCAACGCAGCCGACGTGTTTGCGTTTAAAACCGTTCGGAATTGCTGGCCAGCTCCTGAACACGACGGACCCGGGTTGGATCGCGAATTTCCGGGGGGGGAAACGTTGTGCCAGTCAACAAGCCGATTGGTGCTTTGGATCGAAATGTTTTCGAAGGAATTGCGCACGGTTGAACCGATAGACAGTGTGTGTATTTTCTAAGACCGTTCGGAGTTGCTTAATGAATTCATATTGCGACTCCAAATAAGAGCACATTATTGCCTGCATCTCTGACATCAGCACTGATGATGATTCTTATAATTGTTCGTAACTGCGTGGAATGGTGCAGAGTAGGTTAAAACTGCTTGGTTGAAACACGTTGTTGAATCTTGCAGGGTGTCTCGAACCTGAGAACGTGCATAAACAAAAAACTGTTTGGTATTATTGTGAGATTGGTTGTCGAGAATTGTGAGTGGAGTAAACAGAGTGTTTCAAAATTGTTTGATTAGTATATAGTGCGAAGGTGTTTTGTAGGATAAGGTGATATTAGAAAGAGTAATTATTGATAATCTGGCGTAGAGTATAGGGAATGTTCCAAAACTGTCTTTTAGGACATTCTGAACCTTCTGTTGTTAACTTATTAATTAGGTAGGGTCCACCTATTAAAGAGGAATATAACCTAGAGGCCAGGTATTTTAATCTTCCGTGTATTTAAAACATACGGGAACGCACAAGAATTCTCACGATCTGATCGCAATGTGTTAAAATGTCTTGTAGTTCTTAACAAAGGAAGGACCCCGACTTCGATTTTATCGGGGTTTTGTAAAATGATAGCACACAGGTTCATAATGGTATATGCAAAATATTACATATACACACTCGATAATTTTAAAGATATAAACACTCAAACTTACGTATCTTTCGCATGTACTACGAATATTTATCAAACTTATCGAAGTATATTCGATCAAAGGATCGATTCCCCTTCACCGAAATATTTTTATCCTACTTCACCAACTTAACTTCGATAACTTTGACTTATATTCACAATATATCTCGAAGGTTCGTAACAATAATTTCTTATACCTTTAAAATTATCGAGTGTCTACACCTAATATTTCACATATGTCATTGGGAACCTGTACATCATCTTACAAAACCCGAATAAAATCGAAGTCGGCCAGTTGGGGTCCTTCCCTTGTAAGAATACGCGGGAAATTCATTTATACCGTTTCCAAACAAACATAGAAATCGAACGCAAACATTTTTTTATTACAAGGACAAACAGAGCACTTTTCCTTTTCACGGAGCCGCGTGTAACGTTTACATGTTGTAATTCCGACAGGTTTGTTGAAAGGATCCGTGACGGCTGAACGGCCGCGAACGCTGCGACGGTTGAAGAACGTTTACGGGCCATCCGCATGCGGAATGGGAACCGGCGGCGAGGGTGGAGGCGGCGACCGTATCGAGGACGGTGAGGTACCGTTCCGATTGTCCGATCGCGACCGCGAAAGGGACGAGAAATCCCTGAGTATAATGAGCCCGTTCGACGAGCAGGAGGAATGGGCGAAGATCTCGGAGATCATGGCGTCCTTTGGGACCGGACTGGTCAGGGAATCGGTTTTCGTCACCGAGCTCGAGAAAGAGTTCCAAACGAGGCTAGGTACAATCAGATCTTCACATATTATGATTTGGACATATAACCTGATTCACCGACATTGGAACCAGAAAAAAAGGATGGATTGTGTTTCTTTGGTACTTCACGATGTGTTGTAGACTGTATCAACGGTCTTTGATTTTTTAACCTTGCTGTTCTACTCGGATCTACAGGGTGTTCGTGATAATATGTACCATCGTTTTTTTCGTAAACGGTAAATATTAAAGAAAATCGAAGAGGAGGATGTTGTAGTATATTTTACTAGTAATATGATAGCGTATCTAAAGTTTTTGTATTTCTAATATTTTTCTGGAAACAAAGGCGACCTTACTTTTTTTTAATGGAATGTTACATATTTTTTTAGATCATATGAAAGCGGGCATTAAGACGAGTTCAACTATGTAGTATACTGTGGTCTTCAGGGTCATACAAGGGCAGAAGTAACAGAAAGAAATTTAACATTTCGTAATGCATTCTTTGTTAATGAAAGTCACATTGAATACGAGATATGTATGATGGCGTATGTTCCATTTTTTTTTTAGAACAAATCATTTCGAAATTTGAAATAATTTTATTCCATGGGATAGAATCGTGAAGATTCAGTGAGAAAAACAGCAGGGTTAAACACCACTTTTATTAACTTCTGCAGCTAATCCCAGAGTCGGTTGGTCAGAGTCTATTCTTAGGATTAGTATCTCTTATTCGATATATTTCAAGATATTGGAAGAACCATTCTCATTTGTAAGAAAAAATAGCATCGTCTGTTCGGATTCATCTTATTTTTAGTATTGAGGAAGACTGATAACGCATGAACTACGTGCAAGAATAAGCTTCTGCGAATTATAATCTGTAGCAAAGATATAGATATTAGAGACATTTATAAACTTCTTATTTCCACTGATGAGTTTCATACAGGATTTCATCGCAATATCTTTCTCATCTGCAGACGTATTTCATGCAAAAATTGTAAATACTTAATATTCTCAGATACTATGCCTAACCATTTGCTCCAGCTTATAAACACTTAATTCCTGCATCCAAAGACATTCATCTAAGACTACAAATTCATGCAGCTTAACATTTCTCACAATGCAATACCCAGGACAAATACAGTCCATCGTCACAGAAGTAGTCGATTCGCCAAAACGAGCAAACAGATCCGGCGGTCCCATGAATCAACGGGTGTCTTCCATGAATTAAACTCGCGGTTCTGTCTGATTTGTACGCAGGTCTGAGTTCAGACACCAGCAGCAGCCCCATTGTCTCCACTTCCGTTGGTCAGTGGCTGTCAACGTTGGGTCTGGCGGATTACGAGACTCTCTTCATCAACTACGGTTTCGACGATCTCGACTTCATAGTGAGTATAACATCATTCTCCCGAAATGTCCTTGGTCGACTCAAACTGGACAGCAAACTCTCCGTTTTGTTTGATAGAACGGAGTCCTGGACGAGGCTGATTTGAAGGATATGGGGATCAACAGCGATCAAGAACGGGCGGTGATCATGGACGCGGTCGGTTTGTTGAACAAACGCATGGACAAACGTCCCGGCGGGAACAGTCAATCGGTGGACGAATGGCTGAAGAGTATTCACCTGGAGAATTACACGGAGACGTTCAGGAAACACCTGTACACCGACATGGATCGCGTTAGACGGGTGTGGGAGGTCGAGCTGGCGGCCGTGTTGGAAATCCAAAAGCCAGCCCACAGAAAGAGGATCCTTGCGTCGGTCAGCGGCTCGAATACTCGTGCGCAGAATCGCAATAGCACCGGGCCCAACTTGGAGGACCTCAATAAGGATTTGAACACGTTGGTAAGTGAAAACCATTCGTGTCTATGCTGAATATAAATTAATGTTGGCTGGAAATTCTTCTGGACGTCTGGATCGTATTAGAGAATAGCTAACTCATGTGAGCTGTGGATCGAAATACTTATGATTTCGATTCGATAGGAACGATTCCCTGGTTCGAGAGGGTACTCCAGTGTTCAGGTTAATTCGAAACTTCTAAACTTGATCACACACCAGTGCTTGGTATTCTTTCGTCCTTCTCAACGATACTTGCTCTACTTATGTAGCTTATCGAGTGATTCCTAACACCAGGGTAGCTCAAAGTTCACGATCACGAATATCAAGTAATTCAATAATTCCTGGAGACTAGTACACAAAGAATAATCCCTCTGTACCGAAACACGATCACGTTCCTCGAGTCTCGATTTCTGACTCTCAAACCACGTGTAGTACGTAGCACGTAAAACGCACATCGACTGGAAGAGGTTAACGACGACTCGTCGCGTTGACACTCCTCTCCCGTCGATTCTCTCACCTGGCGCGAATCGTGGGGAGAGTGGCGTCACATCGCGAAGATTTTAAGGGTGCTACGAAACACCAGAGGGATACAGTGAAGAGGTGTGGGGGAGTTGGAGGGTGGGACGTAGAGCGTTGCAACGATCACGTTAAGAATTATCTGTGAACGGTTCACCGGGGTGTCTGACAAGAGTCCCCATGACACTCGGCCCGAAAAGAAGGAGGAGGGGCGAGGGGGGTGTGCACGATGTTCGAAGGGTGGCTGCGACACGGAGAGAGGCTCGATCGTTTCCGACGGCTTTGCAGCCGATCGCGTCATAATGTAAATGTCGTGGCTAATTGGAGGGCCGTTATTGTAACGCTTGTACCCCCCCCCCCTTCGTGCATCGGCTCACCTGTTCGCGAGGCGCGTACACCGTATATCGCTCCCCACACCCCCTACCCTTTCGTATGTATAGAGGACGGGTGCGACACTCGAGAAAGCTTTCAGCCTGATCGTTCGAGCGGACGTTAATGGTTTTTGTTCGGGCGCCTCGAGCGCGATACGTGGATCCGTTAACGAGCCACTCCGTTACCTCGTCCCGCTCGTCTTTTCGGCGCTGCTTCCCTTAATTAGCTAATTAAATTCGATTAATGGCCGCCACCCCCTCCCGCCAGTGTCGACCGGTGCGCGCACCGTCCAAATTGCTCGTTTTGTTCCTCCGTTTCTCTGGTCCTTACGTCCATTCTTTTGCGTGTAATCGAATTTCACGACTTCGCGGCCCGAGAGCCGCGCGGCGCGACGCACCCGTCTTCGCGTCGTTGATTCCGTTCGCGGATTAATCTTCGAAATTTCGTACCCAACCTTCCTATCTTGTTTTCGTCTTTCTCTGGGTATACTGGGTGAAGCAATAAAGGGGTACGTAATTTTCTGGGGTAGATAGCACTTGATAATTATGAAAAGAAGTGCTAGTAAACGTGTGTCTAAAATTAATATTTTTGGAAATAATTTTTGGTTTCACTATCTAAACAATTGATTAGTTTATCATTTCTTCTTTTCGTGGTGACAGAAGGTTACAACCTTTACCGTCACCGACGCTGCTCCTGATCAGAACCCAATTGCTGATCAGTTCGTTAAATAAAAGCTAAAAATTGTTTCTAACTTTGAAAATATTAATTTTTCGACCCTTTTTTATCAACACTGTTTTTTCAGGCTTCGGTGAGTACAGCAATACCTCGATGAGTGCGAGGTACTCGGGTCTGCTTCGGAGCATTCATAGTAAAGCGGAAAGATTTTCAGCCCCTCATAATTCCATTTTTTACCTGAAACCGAGCCTCTGTTTAGCTTCTGTTTACTCTGCTTTAATTAATTCCAGAGAGGGACCACCCCAATGGTGGGAAAAACGTCGTTGCTCGAGTCGCATTCATCGAGAAATCACTGTACTATCTATCCCAAACGAACCCTTTTTCTGCTTCGCCCTGTATACCTATCTTTTTTATTTGTTCCTTCTGATTATCTGTTGTACGACCCTCCACCCCTGTTATTTCTCTGTCCTTCACCCCCGAATTCTGTCGTTTTTTCCGCGACTAGTTCCCGCGGTACGTCGCCTCCGGCTATGTAGTACATTGTCCACGACACAAATTATACAGGGCGAGCCAGATGTAACAAACGATTCGCGGCGTGTAATCCGACTTCGAGTGATATACGCTCGCGTGCCCGGAATCCACGGGGTTCGATTGTAATTCTCGAACCGGCGAGATTGTAAAAAAAAAAATTTTTCCTTTTTTCTGGCCGGGGGAAGGGGCAAGCCGCCAGGTATTCGTGACGCACGCGACGCTTTTACGTGTGTAATTGTACGTGTTCTGTAACGCGAGCCGACGGATTTTCGTGCGTGGCCTAGCAACGCTGCTGCGAGAAATTTTCCGCTGATGGGTCGGTCCGTATTCTGCATCGTTCTTTTTTTTTTTTTTTTTGGTTTTGTTCTCTCCACTTTTTTCTCTGTTCGCGAACGCGTGTATCGGGATCGGTGAAACAGACACGGCCCCGTAACGTCATCCGGTTCACCGATCGGGGGAGAATATTAAAAAATGCTTCTTCCTGTTGTTCGGGTGCTTGCGAGCCCGTGGAAAGGTTTTTACCCGGTAAATTCGGCTCGCGACTCTTTTGGAATACGGCGGAGTCGATTTTGTTCGTCACAAGGTACGAACTTACGATTCTCGATGACGTGTACGTGATTGTGACGCTTCTGCGAACTGTTTGTGATGGTACTTTGCCATTCGAATCTGGACGTTTCGTTGGCATAACGTGATCCATATAATTTCATCACCCAGAGGAACTTTTAACACTAGAACTACCAAGCAAGTCAAAATGACTTGTGAATACACTCTTACAACGACGATTAAAATGTTATGACAATACATTTTCTCAGATCTTTAGCACCTTTTATTATGATATGAAAGTGAAGAAATTAGTCAATTTCTAAGTTTTCAAAATGACTTGTCAATACACTCTTACAACCACGATTAGAATGTTATTACAATATATTTTCTCAGATCTTTCGCACCTTTTATACGAAAGTGAAGAAATTAGTTAATTTCTAAATTTCTAAATTTTCAAAATGACTTGTCAATACACTCTTACAACGACGATTAAAATGTTATGACAATACATTTTCTCAGATCTCTTGCACCTTTTATTACGATACGAAAGTGAAGAAATTAGTCAATTTCTAAATTTCTAAATTTTCAAAAGTTTTTCACGCTCATCCACCGATCGAAGAAAATATACGTTTATCGTCGGTAGTTCTAGTGTTGAAATATGTGTTATAGGTACTTGAAATTTATTGTGACAGTAAGAGAATTAAATATAAATCATTAGAGCATTTTTTCATCATCATGACACTCTCATGGTGTACTACGTGTGCATCAATCTCATGCACTCATCTGTCTTACGTAGCCACTTGCGCTGGAAGTTGATTATCAAGCGCGCGTGACTAACCCGGTCGAAGTAATTCCCAGCGCACTTATACTTCAAACCATGTCTATAAAACGTGTAGATACATAGAATACATTTAGATAAGCATAGACAAAACGTTTCACTGACATTTTGTACATTCCCAGATAGTTTAACTTCACAATCCTTTTCTCATGCATATTTTCTACCTACTTTAATCTTTTTATCTAACTTTTCTGGGTGGCAAGACCTAACAAGGCCATTTTCGTTATCAACAATGTCAGACGATGTATTATGCAAGTCATGTACAAGTTTGAGACAGTTGGCAATAGCATCGTCATTACAGCGCAAGTGGCTAGATTACCAAGTTAGAAAACTTGCTTTAACATTATGGAATCTTCATGGTTGTTCCTACGGCGGTCGACGTGTCAATTGTCATCGCGTATGTCAATGGTACTTAAAGGGGTAGGTTGTTAAAAAAGTTACTGCACTAGCCAGACAAATCGAACAGAAAGAATGTCCAGAAAAAGGGACTTTTGGTAGCGATAAGAACGATCGTTCCTAACGCGCCCGCATCCTCCCACTCTGTTTCCGTAGAAGACGAACATACAACAGTTGAAGGAGGAGATACGGGAAAAACTGCCGGAAACAACGACGGAGGGTAATGGAGGGACGTCGATAACCGGAACGAATTCGACTACCACGGGCACATTAAGGCACCGCAAAAACAGACCGGCCCCGCAGCCACCCCAGCGACCCAGTTCGCATAATGGGGCGATCTCGGCACCGGAACAACTGGAGATCAGGGCACCGTCGGAGCTGCTGTTCGGCGTGCCGTCCACCTTGAAGACGCAATGGAGGCACCAGCCAAAAGCTCTAGTCACCGGCTGCGTCACGTACGTCGCCAACGTAAGTCTAATTGCTTCCGTCTCTCTTCCTTCTTCTCTTGTTTCTTGGCTCGTTACTCGCTGTTTCGAGCCCGTACCCAGCAGCCACGTGGAACCAAATGTTCTTGATGATTTTGACCATCCATGGCGGTCTGCTACGGGTCACGGTGTCTTTGAGTGTTGAATTGTTTTTGGGGTTGGTTCGTGGTGAAAATTGAACTTTGGTAAAGAATGGAATCTGTGGAGGGAGAGGGGTAATAGTTTGGAAATTTAGAAATTGGGAATTGAGAGGAATCGATGGAGTTATTATTTTTAATAATTTAAGGGAAATTTATTAGTTTTGCTAGTATTGTCTTTTCTGATGACTACCGAGTCGTTAAATGGAACGTATCTTTAAACTCATCTTGATTAGCCAGTTTCACGTCCAAATGATAATTTTGAGACAAATGAATAATTTTTTCAAAATAATCTTCCTGTTTGTATGCAATATTAGTTTTAAAATGTTCGTTTTCGTTGAGATTAGGAATGAGAGAAAATGCCCAGTAATACGACATTTTTCTATATTTTGAATCCGCATAGAGAATTTATTGTCGATTCTGTATAACATTTCGCGTTTAACGGGTCCATAGAAAATCATATTTCTTGAGCATTCAGAAGTGGAAGCTTCATCAAAATACTAAGGAGTATATGTATTATCACGCCCACGAAAACACGAGTATTTCCTGCTGGCGTAGTAATTGTGTTCCGTTGTACAGTTCTCTCTCTCTCTCTTTCTCTCTATCTGACTCTATCTAGAACATTATACGGTTCTTGAATAACGAGTGCGTCGTGATGTCAGCCAGATAGTCGTGACAGTGCCTCAAGGTGAAGGCTATTATCATAATCGTTGCGTAGGTGTAACTAATAACACATTTCATTCAGAACATTATCTCTCGTGTAATAACTCTGAATGTACACGACAAGTATTTAACGCTTTCTTTCTGTGTGGAATAATGTTCTTCGATCCGATGATCCTTTGCATTCTTAAATGCAAGAAACGATTAACTTTATGTAACAATTTCAACAAAAATATATTGCAATTTACATTTTTTTATTAGCTTAAAATTAGAAGATATACTCTTAGAATTTCCCCTAAACCCGTGGAAAAGTTCGTCGTTCGATGATTTCTCGTGATGATTCTAGAGGCAAGGTCTTTTTTCTGTTGTAAAATCGCACAGTATCTGGGCTCCACCGTCGTGAAGGAACTACGTGGCACCGAATCGACAAAGAAGTCCATACAGAAGCTGAAGAAAACCTGCCGCGAGCCGAGAGTCACTCCTGACATCACTCTGGCCATTTCTTATCGCGGTGTTCGTTTCTTGAATACCGTTACTAACGTAAGATATCATTCTCAAGTGAAATTACACACCATCCATCAATGCTAATCCTTTGAGATTGATCCTGAGACTCGTGAAAGGTCGGTGCCACTCGTTTGACTAGTAATTTATTGATATATCCTTTCACTCGACTTATATCTACGATTTATTAGGTGCTGTTTCAATAGACTTATAATGCATTATATTAGAGTAGAATTATTGATATAGTTATTTCGCACAGTTCTACCTCTATCGATCTCTGTCCATCTAAATCAATTGATACATATAGAACATTGAAGGTGGTCAACTATTTAAAGCTTAAACTTATTTATTATAAATGACGCCTTCTGGAATTATTTTAAGAATAATAGCACAGAAATTTATTCTAAATACGCTCGGTCATTTTTATACGTACAGAGTTTGTGTACAAGTTTCTTTTTTTATAAAGGATTAGCATTGAAGTCTAACGTAGTTACGTTATCTAAATTTGCATTTGGAATGATAAACATCGATAGGAGCCCATTTGCGAACACGAAATTCGCAACATCCATTGCGCTTGCCAGGACGCCGACGATCTTACCCATTTCGCGTACATTACTAAGGACCATGCCAGCCGCACACATTTTTGTCACGTCTTCTGTGTGCCAACAATGGTAAGTCATTTACCAATCTACCAAACAATCACATGTTCATGTTATTTCCGAATGTACAATATAGGTTCAGATCATTTTTCTTCTATCCTAGATTGTCCAGCCATTCTTTTTATTTTTGCCAGTAATATCGATATAGTTTCAGACGATAACACGTGAAGATTGTTACATGAAAAATTGTGTCCATTTTAAACGCATTGATTTGATATTAGGATACTTAAGATTTACCAATACCATTTGGTTTTCCATTTAGAATCTCTAGTTTTAATCTCTACTCATCTAATATGCATCTAAAATCTTAGTGTCCTTGTGAATCGTGTAAATGGAATGAACAAAGGATTCTTTCCAATCGAAATTAGAAAAAATGGTCGCAGAAATCTTTGACAACTATCACGAAGCGTTGAAACAAGAACCTAGTTCAACATCACTGATTTTTCAAAAATGACACAAACACCCCAGTACCTTCATACACAGAACACGCAAGATACACCCAAAACCTCCAGAATTGCATCCAAAAAGAAGATTCGAATACCTATGAAGTCAGACCATCTACATCCAACATTATCTTCCTCGTTCCTCCATTTCCAACAACAAAATAAAAAGAAGACACAATCCCAGTCGGCTAATTCACCCCTCCAAGAAATGTACGAAGCGAGGCTTGCCTGTTCCAGGACCAAGCGACAGAGGTGATCCTGACTCTAGGCCAAGCGTTCGAAGTGGCCTACCAAATGGCGCTGAGGGACAAGCTAGGCGGTCACACGGTCCGGTCCCAGTCCGCGAACCAATTGACAGCGTTCACCACGAAATCACCAGCGTCCACCAAGCTCTCTGTGTCCCCTGACTCCGCGCCGGATCCAAGTCGCGATCTGGATCAGTCGACGAACATAAATTCGTGCACGAACGCAAAACCAAAGCCAAGGTCCAAGTCATCCATGCCAAATCCGATCATCCAAGTCCCTGGTCCTCCACAGTACACGAACTCGAACTCCAGTTCCGGTTCGAGCCACACCGCGAATTGTACTTCGAGCTCGAACCCAGCGACCAGCCCCAGCACCAATTCCGTCAGCAGTTCGAACTCGAACACCAGCACGAATCCGACCACCAAACCGTTGGTCACCCACGGACGGTCCCATTCGGTGAACGACATCAAACTGAACGGTAATCAGCTGAAGCTAGCACCCGTGCCCGTCGATGACATTGGCATAGGGGTGAAGGACATGAAACCAGGATCCAGAGCGCCGATCGCCCTGTCAGAGGAGCTATAGGTAGACCGTCGAGGAGCTCGCCCAGAAACACGGGCTGGTTTCCTTTTGTCGCGAAGCTGGAACGTTTAGTCCTGAGCAAGGGCTAGGCTAGGACCAGGTAGGCTAGCGATCGTCTGACTTCCGAGCGAAGGTGATCCGAGGTGATGAATGGTACCTTCCCTTCGTGATGGAATCTTTGAAGAAGGACGTGCATGCAGGGTCGAGATGATGACTCTGTTCGAGGTTTCGAAGGATATTACAAGGTCTTCGATCCTTCACTTGGAAAAGAGTATCGAAACGGATGATGACACTAGGATTTGGGTATATGAATCGCGAAGGTGAACGTGTACGAAGTTTTTTTCTTTTTCTTCAGAATAGTGGATATTTCGTTTACTTTCGCGAATGCTGGACATTGTCTCCGTATAGAACGAGCATTGATCGTTCTGTGGTAGGATTAATCTCTGTAAAGATCAAGCTGATACCGGGGATCCACAATGGTCCCCCGCGTGTCGCCTCGGTGTCTTTTTATCTCTCGAACTTTTGTAGTAGCGTTATACACGTGCGGTAGCGTGGGCGAACCGCGTTTCGGCGCGCAATTTGTATAATTGACTTTTTCCGGGGCGAGTCATGGAGGGCCTCGCGACGGCTCAGGTAAGTGGACGACAGTCGGAATCACACACAATTTTTGCCAAACTTTCCGCACTTCCGGAACCGTGTCCGAGACCTACCGACCTTCAGAGCGGGGTCACTGTGATGTTGCAGCATCGAGGGCATTATGAAAAACCGACAAGACTCGTCTGGAAGGCAACCGAGTGCTCACCTTTTACACGTTTCGCACGCGCGCGCAGGGAAATTGTTTAATACACCGGAAACAACGAACTTTGTTACGTACATACAATTTGACAGGGTGTTTCCTGTATTTTGACCTTTCTGATATCTTGAAATGGGGTGTTGTTCTTATAGTTGTTTGGAATTTTTAATAAAAACATAGTGGGGAACTGGATGAAGATGAAATGGAAGAAAGCTCGAAAACGTGTGGATAATTCTGTGGGTCGAGTGCAGACAAATGATAAGGATTAAACTATTTACAGTAAAGTCGCGTTAACTGCGCGGAAAGGCTTCTACCTTAACTGTTCACGCGTCATCCGCACCACTGGGAAATCCTCCCTGGAACCAATCAAGCGTATAATTTATTACGCGTTTCGCGCAGTTAAGGAGACTTTACTGTATTTCGAAGCAGTGTCGCCTCTAGAGTTGTCACTAGATTGGGACCGCGTCGCGAAAATTATAGGAGCAAGTGAGTGTTACAAAAATTGACCACTCGAGTTTGGTGATTGACGCTCTGATACAATGGGTGTAAGTAAAAAACCACTAACATGGGAAGAATTGTGATTACTAGAGCATAATTTTTGTATTTCGGTTAATGTATGTTTTATTCTGGCTTTCCATCTTCCATATGAACTAAACGAATAATTTAATTCTTGCTAAAATTTTCTTCGAAGTCAACAAGACATCAGGATCGTCGTAATACGAGAAACGCCCTGGTCAGAAACGAGCGATTATTTCTCGCGATCAGTTCTCGCCGCGTGACGCGCGTCAATCACGAACAGTATTATTCGACTAAAATAGTGCTCCTCGACACCGTAGATATTTTCTAGTTATACGCACGATGTTTTGTCGGTACGGATGAGTGACGAACGTTACATCGATGTCTCGCCTAAATTAATTAAACGAGAAGAAAAACGAAAGAAAACGGAGAAAAAAAGAAGTGCAGACAAAAAAAGACTCCAGATGGAATCCACATATTACGGCTCGTAACAATCGATCATCACACGCGCACACACAAAAGAAAAAAGAAAGAACACACATTCCCGCGATAAAACGACACAGACGAGCTGAGTAAATTCCAGTATGCTCAATTTTGATCCCGAGTAAGTGATTACTATCGACTGATGAGACTCTGAGGCTGAATTTTTCTTTCGTTCCTCCCTCCCCCCTCCTTATATAGTCGTGTCCGTCGATCGATTTATCGTTCACGGTCGATTCGTTTGGCTTCCATGATCGATTCCACAGTCGTGCGAGTCGCCACACCGTTTTTTCGACGTTTCATCATCCAAGACTGACAGCCCTCGTCTCGTTTTGTATTCCACGTTTTAAGGGTTACGTATAGAGACACACGTACATACACACACACACACGTATTATACACGGACACACGTACCTATAGACACACACACACAGATGCGTATTATTGTATTATAAAACAAAGGGGAAACGGAGGTAAGAGGAAGCTCCGTAGTTAGCGTATTTATTCGAGTGCTAATTCGACGAACCTCGCGATTAGAAAACGAAACTATACCACGAAGCGGTACCAAATATATATCTATCTAATATATACATATATATATTTAAATACTCTATGGAGTCACTACGAAGGCTCTCTGTAACGTAAGACTTACCGAATTTAACAGAACGTCAGAATGAACTATCTACTGGATTAGCTTGAAATTTCCGGCAGGTTTGAACAATCGACTGTTTTTAATATATTGACCTCCTGATTAAAATTAATAGCAACGTTATTCCTTATACCGATCCTACCTCTTTACACATTCTCTTATTCTATGTTAGAAATCATAGTAGTACTAATCCACGATCCATTCGTCCACGTTTTCTTTACAATAACAGACATATAACAGTCGAGATCCAAGATCGTATATTATCCAAAAAGAATATGAACTTTAAATTTCACATTCCTTATGTTACCATTACAGAAATCCTAAGTGTGCTTTCGTCGAAATTTACACAGACCTTTATTGGAAAATTCAACTTATTCTACTATTAAAAACAGTCGTTCAGTTCTACCGCTCAAAACCGACGGAATCAGCGTCTCGCAGATCGAACACGCCGAATCGTCGAATCTCAACGACCATTCGGGTCGATTCAAGGTGTCATAGTATCGGAATGCAACACCATAGTAGCTCCACTCTTCCAGGGAGCAGGCCTAACGACTTCGTAGATATCGAAAATCGTATTAGAACCGCCGTGAAAGTCGAGCGAATATGAGAGTGGAAAAGGAAACTCTACTGTAAAGGTGATGTAGGTGTCAATCCGAGGCACCCTGTACACACGTGTGTAGATTGCTCCGTAGCGAAACCAAAGATTTGCATGTATGTATATAAAAACGTGGGACATTAGTGTCGAGCGAGGAAATGGACGGTGGCTCGATGGAGCAAAAGATGTTGGGACCCACATGCTGGGACTTAAATCCGGTATGATTTTGATACCGATATTATACCATCACAGCTACACCGAAATCGATATATTACCGAAAACCGAAATAAATACTGGTATTTTGTTGGTTTCTATAAGGGTAGGGCTTATATAGGGTTATATATATAAGGCGAAGGTACAACCGAAAATACCGGTATAATACCGGTATTTACGTTTCGGTAGAAGTCCCTGCCCACATGTGGTGTCCCAAGATGGTGCGATAGGTGCGAAGAGACGTGAACAAGAGGGTACGAGTGAAAAACACGAGATACTGCCAAAACGAAACACACCAGAAATTCACGGCGTGAGTATACGCACACACTTTGTATTTGTCACGTTTACAATAGTAGGTAATTACGTATGTATACAGTATCTAGGCGTTAAGGTCACATGGACGGGTCCGCGGGGCATCGTGATACAGTCATTTTCGCGCCGCGGTCGTTGTAAGTTAGGTGGCGCAGCTATATCGTAGAACAGTAGTGGTTTCAAAAGTAGTAGATCAGCACGTTCTCCTCGGTGTGTCAGTAAGTTACGAGAATAGAAGGATGTCACTTATTCGCGACGAAAGTGGTCGGAGAACGAGGACGAGGAAGAGATCCAGAGGTTATTAAGGGTCTCACCCCCGTTGGCTCTTTGGCACTGGGTGTCATCGAACGGTTTGTTGTTCGATAGCATCGAGTTCGAACGATGATTTCGGTTCGTTGCATGGTGGTACGATGGGAAAGGATTTTGTTTGGGAATAGTGGAAACGTTTCGGATCACTTGGCGATAGCAATTTGACGAGGATATGAACGATTCGGGTGATCGTTGGGTGTTGGGAAAGGCTTCTCATTTGTTTCCTTTAGACTTTTATTTGTCAACTTATCTGTTAAATCATCCTTTAGCTTTGCAAATGAAAACATAACGCAATCGATATTTTTCAATTTTACTCTTCGATCGGTTTTACAAGTGCTACCAGAAGCCTGACATTTCTAGTAGTGTGTTAATATACAGTTGATGGTGTGAGTTTTGTTAGTCAGAATATTCTTCTATTACCATCTGGAAAAATTACCTTTTTCTGGTAGATTCGAAATTAAATACCTGAAGAATTTTCCCCAACATCGAATATTTAGCCAGATAAAAAACAATGCGCGAGATTTCCAAGTACTCGAGCGTCTGAACTCTCGCAAGTCCCAGAACATTGAATTATCCGAACACTTCGGTAACTTAGCAGGTTAGTGGGTTTAGTTTAGCAACAGAGTGCAACTCAAGACACCAAAAGTGTGACGATATACCGACAAGTATATCGTGACCAATTGACGTCCATCCGTTTCGCAGCATCAGGATACAAACGCTTTAGAATCTATAGAAACAAGCAAACCGATACCAAGCGTTCTTTCGCGTGAGATCGTTCGCGACTCGGAGCAACAACCATTTCGTCCATCAACGAACAATACGGTTGCAACCAGTAATGCAACCACGTAAGTGCCAACAATGGAGCCCGTTTTTATACTCGACACACACACACATATACACGAACAGATTTCGATCCGATTTGGGGATCCACGCGGGTATAATTCGATCGTCGAAACGTTACCCGAGAGGATCCATGAAAAGCTTCTCGCCGTGGCGTTCCAGCAAACTGTAAATAGATCGAGCAACAGTTTCAGGTAGCTATCTCATCTTGCGTACTGTACATTACCTTTTCCGCACGTCCGACAGGTTTGATTTGCTCGACAGACCGAAGGCAATAGATAGCCGCGCACGAGATA